AGGGACCGTTAACACTTAATTGATTATCAGTTTACTGTTGTTTATGATTTGTTAGAATGCTCACGTAACCTTTAAACCGTTGCCTAAAATAAAAATTGAATAACTACAATATTTTAACAGCCCAGACATCATATTTTATTTGGATTTGATTTATGCTTCTCTATGATATGGTTGATTGGATGTATCGAAGGTTCAGGGATCGAATATCATAAATAAATGTTATGCATTAAATATAAAATACAATCGATGGGGATATATATTTTAAGCAATTCAAATTGTTGTGTTTCAGCCACGAGTCATTTAAAGTTGGTTGCGACTGGTCGCGCGCGGCGTTCGGGCCGGGCGGCAGATTACTGGCTGTGGGCGCCGCCGACGGATCTGTCTACGTTTGGAACACGCACACAGGAAAATTGGAAACCATATTAAAAGAGCACTCGTAAGTTTACAATATTTGGCAAAAGATAGATAAACTATAAACCATCCATCGATAGTATACAAATGTTGTACTCTCTTGTTGATTTTTCCTTCGGCACTCAAATTTATGTTTGTGTTTGAGCCGTAACTGTATATTGTTAGACCACGATTTTCGTGCAGTTCACGATACCAACATGTAATGTTAATTAGTTACTATTCTGTGATTAGTAAGTCGTGGGACCACTTTGTTTGTGTAAAAATTATCTCCATTTCGTTAACTAAAAGGAATACGATTAACTCTACCTGATATTTTTTTAGATATCAGGCGAAGTGTATAAAATTACGCAAAGTGAGAATTAATTGACTCAAAATCGCGCAAAAAATCTGTACAGATATAAACTCTTCTAATGTCTTTCTATTTGAATGGACTACTTTTTTATCTAGAAATCGATCCATTAAGTTTGCAAATCAGTTTCGTAGACATAGTGTTTTTTATAAAGATATTTTACTTCTCAATAATAATCGTTTAAAAAGTCATTTATCAATTTCTACGTACATTGTCAAACAGTAATCTCAAACGACCATAGATCAAGTTTTGAATACAGACGATACTTTTTCATGCTCCAGTCATTAATATCTCTGTGATAATGTATGTTGTGTCAGTTTTGCTGCTTCTGTAATTTGGTATTCCTTATTTGCTTCAAGCTCTGTTATGTAACGGTCGGATACAGATAACTCCAGAGGAAATCACGACAACAACCGACGAACAATATCGTTCTAATTCGAAGTATTCATGCTGCAGTTTGAGTCTGACCCTGGCGACATCTAATAAAGTTTCAGTCACATTTCCGACCTTGAATTTAGAACTAAAATTGCTTGACTCGCGACATCGTTTAGTTTCCTTGTAACATTTCGCATGGACAATTGAAATCGTGAGGTCAACATTGGCTCGGGCCGTCTCATTGCAAATTTCTCTTTCCCACACGTAACGAATACTGCATATTTATTTATTTGGAAGCGATCGCGTTCTCGCGACGGTTTCTATAAATGTTGTCTCGTGGTTGGAAATAGACATTGTTTTAGCGCCGGAAGATGAAAGTGAAATGTGAATAAATTCTTGTTATTTTATTCATGAATCGAATCGAAGGCCATTTAGAATAAAATTGATAAGTCCTTTGTTTTCAATGGGCTTTTGTTAAGTTGACAGGTGATTTTGCGAAGTGCCTCGCTACATGGGCCTCCATTGTATTGTGACCGCCGCGATACCATTGCAGCCGCTCAAACCCTTTTCATAAATGCTATAGGCTCCCCACGCAGCTAAACTGAGAAACAATGTAAACAAAGGGAAACATCCGTGATAACCTTTTATATAACTTTAAAGATCAATGTATTCTTTTAATAGGATTAATTTATTCTTTTACAAAGATTTAATTATGTTTAAGGTTCAGATTTACAATTATCTTGCATTGTTTCATTAACATATTTATTTTAACAAGCTAAAAGTGTGTATTACAAATGGATGGCGTGTAATCGCAACCTCCTACGCGCGTGTAGAAACGCTCAGTCACTTTATTGCTTAGCGCTGTCGACTCTAATTCAATATTGAACAAACGTTAATACGGTTTTCTTGCGTTTGCTCACCGATATACCGTTCTATAATAAACTGCAGTTTTATCTTCTTCCTCAGTTAGCTTGAACGTAACTTTAAAATTAAATGTACATATTTAATAATAAAATTTGATTACGCCTTTGCGCATATTTCCTTTATCATTTCCCTTTTAATGATTAGAGCTTATTCTTTATTATAGTCGGACTATCTGCTATGTTAGTACAAATTGCTCGTTAATTTTATTTACGTAATTGTTTAATGCTTTCCGTCTTACAATAACTTAGCTTGTCTGTTTTAGTTTACCATTATTCTGCTACAGTACAAAGCCAATCGCATCATGTAACCGATGTTTATTTCCATTATTTACTAAAATATAGTCATTCCAAATAATCGTACTTTCAGAAAGTTGTTTGACGATGCAAAGGACATTTCCGGCTTTGTACAATAGTGTGCTGATGTCGCGGGCTGTCACCCTCTCCTGAACCTTATCTATGCGCCGACTGACCGACACAGCGCGGTCCCCGCTTTCGAATTAACATTTGCGACCGAACATATACTCATACCTGTCACCGCATACATTATGATTTATTCCCCTACCAAGATAAACCTAATTCCTTCCTAATCGTTTGACATTTCAACGCGACGAGAAATCGCATCAAATATAATAGCAATTATAAAGCCCCCATTAACCGTGCCTTTATAAAGTGAACAACGATTTCTTATGCTCATTTCTGTTATATTATACTTAAGTACTAACTCGCGTGCGATGCAATTAACTCCCATCTAACGATTTCCGTACTCAAAGTGATTCATTCGGACATTTATGAAGCAATTGTCTAATAAACCTTTCGAAAATCGGCTCGCAAATATAATAGATGGACTATATAACGGTGGCTTTATTAGCTGCATTGATCGACTCATATTAACTATACTACAATATCTTCGTTTACTGCTCAGTACCTAATCGTAACCACATATTCACAAAGTTCTGTCTTGACGGAATTTTTCGTTCATATAATTTAATTGGTAACATAGGTACATCCTTGCTTATAAATTTTATGACAAGCAAATAAAAAAGTTGTCTCATAATTCGATATTTTAAAAAACTTCCCAAATAAAATTTTGTCGGGTTTAAATGATACGATCTTCAATAACTTAATACTGTTTTTTTACTTTTCTTTATTTTTACGTTATGATAAATTAAGTAGCAAATGTGTTTTAAGTTGGGTTTAAATGTTTTAATTTCCACAAGTCTGAAATTCAACCTGTACCTTTTGCGTCTTTCAACGTGATAAATTATATACTATCGAAAACAGCAGTAACTTGTTGAAATTTATTGTTTACGGATGCAATATTTAAATTTAAAATGCGTTAAGAAATTAGTAAGACGCTTTAAGTGCTGTAGACACATCACTAAACGCACGTAGTTATAAAGAGTTTTCGACATAAATATCTAATTAAAATAACGGAAACATTATATAGCGGAACACCGCTACCTAAACGTAATATTTATAACCTATGATATTTATTTTTTATGATCCGTAAAGAAGTAAATAATATAATTTTACATAAACATGTAAATAAGTCATAACAATAAAGTACTTCTTCAAAAACAATTGCCATTTTCTAGACACGTAGTGTCATTCTGGGCACTAGGAAAATTAATTCTGGAGTACCAAATTAAATAAGAAATGCTGTGAAGTGTTTTCCATAAGAATATAAATTTCACTCATCGTCATTCATCCGATAAACTGATAATCCATATATGTACAGAGAAATATCGCCTGTCCAACACTAAAAGTCTTTTAGACTTTAATAGAAAGTTATTGGGTGTATGCGAGCGTGTGAGGATGCTTTTTATGTGTTTACTTATTTATGGTAGTGGTGAACCTTGGACTAGAAATATAAAATTCTACTTGTGTACTTGTGGTACCCATTATTAATGTACTATTCGTTCACTGCAATGATGCATTTATGATTGAAGAAAAAAAGCTAGCTTAAAGAACATAAAAAACATGATTATAACGTATTGAACTATTAATTAAGAACGGAAATATCTTTTTTTGCCCGACCTGTCTATAAATTTCAATCAATAAAAGGAATATATAAATTTAGTAGAGCAAATTTAAACGAAGTGTATGTCTGAAGGTATAGCTGCCTCATCATTACAGAGCCGCCGCCGCTCAAGCTTTTTGTAGCGGAAAGGCTATCGACCGCCGCGAATAGATTCTTGAAATTGCTTTATTGGGTAACCTGTTCCCGAACATAGTAGGCGTGTAATGCGGTTATGAATCAAGACGTGACTGGAATTAAATGTATTATGCTTTCCGTATTTATGAACGGACCTGAACCCAATAAAACTGATTTGATTATACACGAAATGCATTCTCATACACCATAAATTAAAACTATTGCATCCGAACCGGTTTACGCCACCGCGCGCTTACGAACAATTTAATTATTGATCATCTCCGCTTGACTGAATCATGAATTAAAAACAGATAGTAGTATTCGTTTAATATTATAGGCTTGTAATGATTTAATATCTATAATTATATATTAAACATTTGAATCTTAGGATAGAACACGTTTATCACCGGCTGCGGATATTTGACTCAAAAAGCGCTCTTTAACATGACAACAATTGCGAGCGGCCGCTCGTTTCACATTTACGATGCTTCCTAGAGCCCATATAGGTGGATATTCTCTCAAGGCTCGTTATTCGCAACCGGGAGCGGTCAGCGGTATGTGTAAACGAACCGAACAGTACCGACACTAATTCTTGTTTATGAGAGGCCACGTCTAATACCTTGTTAATCCTTATACAGCCTCCGACAATCATAGCGACGCATACATTATTTATATTCAAAATTAAATGTACCGGTAGAATAACAATTTACACACTTACATGATCGGTACAGGTGCAAAGATTTCGAACGAGTTGACCGTGTTCGTCGTCTTACGTTCGTACCGCATTTCCAACAGCGCTTCGCTTCTTTTTGTTACTTAGCTCTTTTTGTCGGCCTTATTAAACACTCGTATATTAATAAAAGTCACGATGGGTATCTCTTTAGTGCCAGTGACACAGATTTAAGCGCCAACATAATATTTGTAATGTACGTCCGCATAACGCGTGATACCGTTCATAGTCACCTCGTAAGTTCCGAGAAATGTAACGGTCCGTCCGACTCGAAATGCACCAGTTTAGTAATAAAATATAGCATGTAGTCGGAGTGGTTTTATGACCCTATGAACTTAGATTTTGTCGCAACCTCTAGCCGGTGGTGTATTCGCGGCGCGTATGCATCATTTATTGCGTGGACTTGCGCCGTCTCGAATAAAAAACGAATTATTGTTACGATAACATTATACTGAATACATGGTAAGTTCGGCAAACCAGATTGTTCAAATTTATCACGAGATATGCAGGATTGAGCGAAGCTCCGAAGTTCAGTTTGTGGAATTTAGAATCTTTAAGTTTTCTAATCACAGTCCCGGTCTTTAACCTACAATACACAAACGCTGTGGCGAATGCAATTGTACGCCAATTACCGCTCCTGTTCGAAGCGGAAGAACCACGAGTGATGTAGAAAGTGCCTCACTAATAAAATCCCTCTCATCCTAAACAAACCGTAAAAGGCAAAACTAACCACTTAAACGTCTTCGTTTATAAATCTATTCTTATCTAAAAGCATTTATTGCCAAAACTATTCATTCTAAATGATCCGTGAACGCTTCTAAAGCAATCAAAAAACTATTTTCTTTGTATCAATTGTAAAAATTGTATTTTGTAAATAGGATCCAATTTATGGTAATAAAATTAATGTTGAGTTGCTTAAAAAAACAAATGTAAGAGATATTCTATTTGAGACTTAATTCATATTTAATATCTTACTTATTACTTCATTAACGTGTAGTTCAAACCTATTGAAATCATTAACTATTGAGCACAACATCGTTAGGAATGAAAACAATAAGACATTAGTCCATTAGCGCTGTTTGTATTTAATTGATTGAAAAAAAAACTTTGATTTCTCTTGAATTTGCAAACACTAGGTCTTAAAGTAGATTAGGTTTGTAGATCGAGTTGTTCCCGGCCAGATTTATGACGACCCGAGGCTGTCAATTTTATGTTTTCACTGCGCTTGAAATGCGCCGGTGCTCACTCGACATTTACTATTTGTCACAAATTTTATTCTGAAAACATGCGCTTCGGAGCTTTTAAAATATCTTTAACGCTAGTTACACAGTTTTATTTTTTTTGTCTTATTTATTATTTACAACTTTGAATCAACCTATTTATAATTATGTCATTTATACATTGTGTATGTATTATTTTTTTTATCTTGATAAGTAGCGATGGCATATATCTTACTACTTAAAACTGTAGAGGCTTTCGAAAAGTTGTGTTATTAATAGAAATAGTTAGTTAAAATATGTATAAATAGAACTTTTGACGTCTTTCTGAAACATCCAGATTCAATTCCCTGAATTATATCTTCATAGATACATAAAACATTCAAGAAATGATTTGTTTTCACTAGCACATCCTGCTAAACTTGGAAACACCACACAACTGGCTATTGGATACGCCTATTGGCGTAGGTCGTAGGCGCAAACTAGACTGCAACGAATTTACTTACCTCTAACACGACACGGAAATGTCAAAACATGTGTATTAACTCTACAAACCTTTCCGCACCGTACAAATGGTAAACTCAATTTATGGTTGGTACAGTTTGTTATATAGGACAACAAGTACATTTTATTACCTGCTTTAATATATTTGTATAATATAAACTTACTATATCGAATTTACAATAATGTAACCTTCCCGTTTAACATATAGGATAAGTTAATTTTTAATCTGTATTTTTTTAACAATAATGTTTAGTTATTCTACAACCAGTAAAATTTGGAATAGCTAGCACGTAGGAAAAACAACAAACACAAAATGTAGGAGTAATATAAGAGCTCAAGACCTATTAAGGAAATATAAATACAACAGTCTAAGATTTTTGCACGTAAATATGACAAAGGATAAAAAAGAATTGTGTAGTCTGTGGCTACAGGACAAACCTTTTAAAGCTTTTAATGTTCGTTTTGATCTCTTATTACAAAAAGAACATTGAAAATAAGTTTAAAGGTTTAAAGCCCTCAAAAGGCGAGTGTTGTTAATGCGTGCTGTAATTTAATAAAATTTAAATGCGTTTAAGCCGATCCGTGGAGAATTATGTAAAGTTCAGGATACTGGTTGTATAAAATAGTTTGTTATAATAGTAATCTTGGTATATATGCACCCTACTGCGGGGCATGGCTCACATAATGAAAGGGTTATACTCTCAGTGATCACTGCTTTAATGCACTCTCTCTGTTATGCATTTTTATTATTACTAGAATATTAAAGCAGTTTGCGAATTACACTTTCACTCAACTTTAATTATTTAGCACGTCAAATCTTTATATTCAAAGCATAAAGAAAAATTTTTTTTTAATTCATTAATAGTAAATTTCTAGATGTTTAATCAGGTTTTCAGTCATTTGCTTAGTTAGTATCGAAGCAAATTAAATTCCTTTCTCAAAAGCTTTTTCAGTATTAACATTATAAGATAATATTATGATAAATAAATGTATTGTTATTAATTGTACTATTTATATAATTCACATGAATTGTGAACGAAGAACAATGTTTGCGTCGATAGAAAATACCTTTATTCACCGTATCGACAAGGGCGAGATGATCCCGGACCCAAAAGGTGCGAACTAGACATCTCAAAGGCGGACGCGAGAGCTAATAAACCAAGCGAAGCATTTATGGGTGAAAGCGGACCCCAGCAATTGTCCATACAACGGCTAGAATAAGAAGATACGTACTAAATATGAATATTAATAAAGATATATTACGAGTAAGATATCGAAAGTTGGTGTGAAGATTGAGGACGCACATTAAATTCTAAATTTATTGATATCGTACTAAATGTCTTTTACATACGCAATAAATGTGCACGTTTCAATAATCTCCTTGTTGAAACATATGAAATGTGTCAAAATTTATCATATTCATGTTAATTAATTTTTATTTTTAATGTTATAAACGCGAAAGTTTAAATGGAAGGATAGATGTTTGTTAGAGTTTTTAGCCTAAACGGCTGCACGGATTTCGATGAAATTTGGTATAGATGTAGAGGACAGTCAGGAAAATACATAGGATACTCACCATTTTTTTTAATTTCACACGGACGGAGTCGCCGGCGAAAGCTAGTATTGAAATAATTTTATATGTTTGAGACTTTCAATTTGCATTTTATAATTCATGTATCATAAAGCTTTATGTGCATATATTTGTATTTTTACGTATATTGCAACAGGTCAGCGGTGACGGCGGTGTCATGGCATCCTCAGTCGGGGCTGCTGGCGTCCGTGGACAGGGGCAAGCGCGCGCTCGTGTGGGGCGACTTGTGACACGCATGGGACTGCGTTCCGCAGACGACGATTATACCACAGGTACAACAATTAAAACATTTCTAGCAAAAGTACATTACTCATGTACTTACTGCCATGTACTACAATTTAAAATGTTTCGGCTGACCGTTTTTATTTAGACTTCGTGTTCGAGAATCTCTCCATGTTATGTTAGCCTAGTACTCAATGTTTGTCTCATCCCTTATCTTAAGTGAGCGATGCGGAACGCTGGCGATAACGTAGACCACAAATAGATAGGATTTGAATTTTAGTTTTTCAAAAATCATCGTTTTAGCGTCCCTCAGATTTTTGATCTGACCAATGCGACTATGAATAAAAGTTGTTATTTAAAGGTAAAATAAAACTTTATATCTGTACAAACAAATGAATCCTTAATTATTTGTTCCATTCCAGTCTGACAGTTATATCAATAAAATGACGTAGTCTATAGCTCAAATTAGCCAATGAAAACTTGTGACTCAGTCGTATTTTGACCACTAAATAGAAAGTTTGTTGTCTATAACAGTTAGTTTTCGGTCAATACTATTATAGATATGAAAGTAGAAATAAAACACTAAGATGAAAAGAGAATTAATTGTCCATATCTTATTAACTACCGATCATTAGCATATAACATTAGAAATCGATTCCAAATTACGAATTATCGTTTAAAGTATTTTGTTGAGATTTATATCACAATAATTGATTTAATGAGTTTTTAAGTTAGAGATAAGTCTTTGAAGTAACTTTTGTTAATGTTTTTAAATATAAAGAAATCATAAAATTAAATATCTATATTCTTGTGTTTCCTTAAATTTCTAAAGGCAAAGTTTAATGTTATTTCAGTCCAATCTTTAATATTAATTGCATGTCGAGATATTAAGTCAGTCGCATGAATGTTTTAAGATAAACGTGCTTGCGTGAACGCGGCGATTAAGGAATCAGTCTGAATATATATTCAATTATGGATCTACCAATGGGAATGAAGCAAAGGTCATTGCACGTACAGTCATCTCGAAGTTTAATTAATTTTAGGAACTAAATAAACATAACGAATAACTTTTGTAATCAAAAAACACAATAATTTGAAGGAATGTATTATTGATCCCACCCAAAAAATTTACCCGTTGTTTTTTATTCATATCTTTCTTTTTAAGTACTCAAAGTTTTTAAAAAAAATAACAGTGAGTAACATAGGCCTCTATAAATTAGTACTAATTTATACACATAGGTATATCGAATAGATGAAAATATACTTAGCATTTGTAAATACTTTTTTTATTGTAACTTTTTCATATCCATTAAAACAGTCTGTAAAATCTACCATGAAGGTTATAGTTGAACTATACTCTAGACATGTACATTGCCCGCTCTAGTGCGAAATAAACAATAGTTTGTTAGTCTACGTGTTTTTACATTCATAAACATAAATCATGATATGCGCTAAGCAAGTGTAATGTCCAACTGCATACAAAGTACGCTTTGCTTTTATTGTTCTAACTAAAATGTAAGTCATTCTACGTCTGTGTTTATTAGTCGGAGTAGAAAGTTGTGAAATTACAAGTAGCTTATGCTCTGGGATAGTGTTAAGGGAGACACTTTACCTATTCCATACGTATTTAGTTTCTTTTTAAAACAATCCTCCGATAATTACCTTATAAGTTCAAAAAACGCAGATAATGGTTTGAGGTACGGACTACCGATCTTGCAGTCGAGGGTTCGAATCCCGCCGTTCGACTATTGTCGTAAACCATATCCTAGTATAAGCCTAGAGCTTAGTCGGAATGGTAAAAGGAATTATTAGTGAATTAAAAAAAAACTTCGATAATTTTTTTAAATAAAAATTAAGATTTATGCGTTTTTTAATTAAATCAGTGTGAATTTATTCGTATGTTTTATTTCATTTTCATAGCACCAGAAAAAGCACCTAACAAATCAATTGACTTCAAATCGCTAAATCGAAACGCGGTGTCGGTAGTTACACGCCATATTTGTACCTAGCTTATAAATCTCTATAATTGCATTACTGCAGGTTTAATCAGATGATTGCAGTTGTTCACTCGGATGTTATTTACTTACGTTATACAATTAATTGCATGTCAACGGTCAACGGTGCGATATCAAAAGGGTTCAGTCTCATACAAAATAAATAAGACATTTTAATTTTATAAAATTAACTTCCAAATAAACTTTTTAATAGAAATATTTCAAATGTTTTATGTTATTTTTTGGAAATGTTTTGCTTTACATTTGTTTAAATCTAGATATACTTATATATTCTATTGCAGTGTCGTTCCCTTTGTCATATTTTGTATTTATAATACAAATTTATACGTTTTCTATGTTGGCATCCTTGAATACAAGTCGCAACATTTATCTTACCGAATTAGGAATGTCTATGATCTTACAGTTACTCGGCTCGCATTCCCAGGCACTGTGGGCAGTACATCAAAGGCCTAAAAGTCACTTATCGCAATTGTTGACAATGTTTATATGGACGGTTAAGTTACAGCCTATCTTGTTGCAACAAGTCGACGACCTAACGTTAAATGCGGAAAAGACAAAAATGTAATTGTTTTGTTACGATGGATTTAAAAAAGTAAAGTACATTAGAGAAATGACAGGCAAAGTTATACAGACATATCTGTATCCTGTATTAGAAACGAATACAATCAAAGAACCAATCAAGATATTCATTGGTATATGTATAAAAAAGAAACATTAAAAGCTCATTGACCTCAATAAACCAATCTAGAAAGGCTGAAACACTATCTTTGAACTTATTTCTTGACTACAAAGGTCGCCACTGAAATTAGAACTCCCCTCTAAAATATACAGAAAGGTAATTGTGTATTGGATCAAAGAAACTCTTATTGTATGAACACTATTGAATATCTCAATGTAAAAAGCAATCTCAGAGCGAAGTCAAAATGTAATTTATCAAAATTAGATCCATTAATATTGTTCAAAAACAATAATGAGCTCACGAATAAAACACATCGTAATCTAATATTTTGGTTGTTAATAAAAGCGCATCTCCGTTGGCAATAATAAGTTAACGGAACGCGTATAGATTTGCTAATAAACATGCAACGTATTGACTGACAGCGCCTGCCGCGTAGCAATTTCACCGTAATAACAGATGCTGGTCCATCCGACGAACATCTTACGATAATTCAACCATTAGATTTGTAAAAAGAAATGGTCCGGCAAACAATACCGCACCGCCAATAAGTGAAAGCGCTTTCGACTTTCGTAAGTTTTTGTGCGAGTTTATGTGTGGATTTTCGGTCACATTGTCTGGCGACATGAATCCGCTAAAACGGCAAATGGACCACAGTTAACAACATAGTACATTATCTTATAATTTTATTTATGAAATTATTTTTATGATCATCATTGTAAGTTAAGGTATTGCTATAATTTATAGAAAACCAAACATAAAAATCATTTAATCAGAAACTCCGTAAAATAATGAAAATACAGGACCTGTTAAGTAAATTTCATCACATAAAACAGTTGAAAACTCTACCTCCGTATAATCGTATACCGCAACGCAATATCATTAATTCTGGAACTAAATTAGAATACACCGAAAGCTAATGGTCAGATTTAAATTGTGATTTTTATGACATAGCGGAAACGTTAAGCGCCTTTATCTCTGACTGAGTTTGAAATGAAGATAAACTGTTGACAAAACTTAAACGCACTTAACATTAATAAAGTATAACCACGATAAAGGTACACACATTAAAAACTTCAAACGGAAAAAGAATCAAAAACCTTAGTGATTACACAAAACACATAAAATTTGAAAACAATATTACGTCAGATAAATCGAAACAATTCATTGAGTTATATTTATCAGACAAAGTAGCTTAGATCAAAGCTTGCCGCCTGATTCCATCACAACGCCGAAAAACATGAACGAATTTTGGAGGCTCGCATTTCGCTTTTCGCATGATTGGATTACTCCCGACACGCGGCGAACCGTTCACAAACCGTTTGTCGCCAAAATGAAGCGGAAAATTTAATAGTCCACTTTTCAGTACGTGATCAGCATTTTACTTTTATTATCTCCACAACGATGCCCCGCTTTCGTTTCCCGCCGCGCCGGGGGCAGGCTAAGTGTTTGTAGTGACGCGTTTTGCTTTCGTTTTAGAAGTCCTCTCGCGACCGCATATCAGAAAAAATATCACAATGTAATTCAATTTCAAACGTCTTTGTATGCGTAATTAGAAATTTATATAAAGACACACAATGTTACACGTAATCGAACATTCTAAAGTACTGTTCTGCTGTCGACTTGTGTGGCTACAAACATATCGCCGATATACGTACGTGCGAGAGACAGCAATTTTAACAGCCACTTGAACATCGTTAATTCATTCGTCGCTCTTTCACTTTAAAACGGAAACATTTCGGTGTACAAAATCAGGGACGGTAACGGTGTACCGAACAAGTTGGAAAATTATCGATGTTTAATTGACGTGTGCGTCGTGCGGCATTTGTTTCGTGGCGTACGGAACGACAATGCGAGTGTGAAGTTAAAATTGTGATCGTCCAAGTGTTTCGGAACCGGCGCGGACGGCAGCGGTACCGTTGGTGGCGGAGCGGGCGAGCGGCCAAACGGCCGAGCGGGCAAAGATTTGGCGTAATGACCTACGGCTACGTCGTCTCACCGCTCGATGTCTCAGATCTTAATCGCGTTTACGCTCGCCGCTCGCGGAGACACGCCGCCGCATTCTACGACCGCAAGACGCTCGTCAATCGCCTCATCAACCTGATTAACTAATCATATCTCGCTTGCTTTATGTAACTGGACTCGTAATCTTCCCTATTTGCCGTTTGAGCGTTCACCTTTTTGTGCATTTCTACTCGTGCTTATCTCTTTAACATAGACCATAATAACTGGACTGTTGCATCTTACGCGACCGGTGCCTTACAACGTAGCGTTTATCATTTTCATTATATTATTCACATTTATTCTCTCGTCACAATTATACAAATCTAAGCTGCATTTATTTTGATTTATGAAATCAGAATCATAGTCAATAGTTTTACATAAAAGTCGCCAGATAAGGTTTATTGTTAACAATGGAGTGCAATTTATTTAAAAAATAAAAAACACCTACTTAAATTACTAACGGTATATGCAAAACGTTAATTAATTACGCTACTTTTAACTCTAATTGAACACACATAGACGTTAAGCCAGCAGTGGCTTCGAATATCGGCACTTGACACGGTATTAATATAACCGTAGACAATCACATACACATAGAGCAATTTAAAATTACCGTTCTAGGAGTAATTATGTATTTTTTTCGGTGGCAGTAAGGCCAGTAGTCCTCACGCAACACTATCGCCGGCCGGAGGCGGGCTAATAGCAGTTATTAGTAAATCAGTCTGAGAAATCGACAACAATGAGCACGGAATACCCTCATTGCTGTGCCTCATTCATTTAACTTTTTGTTACACGACTCACAATGTGTGTCATATTTTCACTTAATGAGTGGCCAAAAGTAACAAGCTTTCGATCACAAATGATTTAAATTATTGAATTGCGTTAACGTGAAAGAATATTTGATTATCAAAAGAATCGAATTTAATTTGATCAACAGATGTAAGAATTTTTAAACGATTCCTGGATAGTAGTAAGTTAGTATTATAAAACTAGATGTATTACTAACTATACGAAAGTACTTGTATGTTATAATTTAAAAACCACTGGTGTGGAAACTATATCACTTACCGTTAAAAAAGCTATTAAGAAGTGAGAAAAATGCACTTAATAATTCATGTTTTTACCTTAAAAAGGCATTAAAACGGTATGGAACATACCAGTGGCAGATTTCTGGAAATGATGCATGTTATCGCACATCACGGGAGACGCTGTCTACGTAGATGGAAGTAGTCTTGGTCATCCTACCCGTTAACTGCAGCTTTAATATGCACTTTGTGTATTTATCACCATGACTTAACACAAACATATAATGTAATGCGAAATGTCTTTTACTCACGTAAAGTTTAGTACTAACGTACTGTAGCAAAGTTAAAGACAGAACTAATTTATTTATTAACAATTTGATACGAAATAAAACACGACTTCAATAATTTCTGTTAGTTGATTAGTAAATGTGTTTATTAGTTGTTTTCAAACGCATGCTAATTCTCTGATTGACCGAGAATTATTATTTCAAATCTTTACTTTTAATATTCTGCCCTTTTTTAGCTTTTGCCAACGAGTATGTATGCTACTGACTCGGATCAAAACATCTCCAACAAACACAACATTGCAAATTATCCAGATCTAATTTCGTTGGTTAAAATTCTAGATTGCTGATGTAAAATAAATGTTTTGCACATAATTTTAAAAATAAACGTAGACTGAAACAGTTGTGCAGAAAATGGAACGAGTAGGCGGTTACTTAATTAATGTAATGAACATCGCAGCCTATAAACATGCACTTAGTGGCCCATTAAACTGTATGTCCACCCCAGAAGCATTAACGTCTCTTCAACTGTTTACTAGTGGGCTCTTATCGCTGCATCTCACAATCCCTATACACGTACTCCGAACAAAAACCTTCAAGAACCTTTAAGCTCTTGGAATTTCTGACGTAAAAATATGGCAAGTTCTGCTATCATTTGTAGATCACATGAGCTTCTATTCTGAAGCTACGTTTTTTTTAAATTTAAAAATTGCTTTAATATATAATATCTTGTAACCATTCAAACTAAGCTCTAATTATCCAATTACGAGAATAGAACTCCCCACCGTGTGATTGGATAGGTCAAAATCTATGGATAGTTCCACTATCGTTTGCAATCAACCAAAACTACGTGTTTATTAAAAATATCTTAATTGATATAAAAAGGAGTGGAAGTATTCGAGACAAGAAGCCGACTTATAACTGTTCAATCCGACATTAGCTATCGTGTTATAAACAGTTACAGTGATTCGGATTATTGTTCAAACAACAATTCAATTAAATTCAGGACACCGCGTCCGTTTGAAACACCGCCTGCGCCCGCCGTGTGCAAATATACGGCAACTATTAAATAACGGTCGGCCCACAATGAACGTATCAATTTCAGTTTGTTTTGCCGTAACTAAACACCTCGTAGACGCTATCTCGGCGTACTTTAATAAATTAAGCCTAACTCACGTACAGGATGTGACGTATATTTTTTGCGCATGTCGACAGGGACGCGTATTTATTGAATGCTCGAGCGATGATTGCGACTTGACAAGTTCCTTGCTTGTTTACCGCTTACGGTTCTTCTATGCCTCGTACACAGCTAGTTAATAAACATATAAACTGTCTGGATTTATGATTTTATAACTCAAGTTTTAAAAGATAAATTGTGTTACTTTTTAGATGTGTATTTAGCTATGTATATTTAAAAAAGTTTGTTGAAGAAACAGATAATGTATAGAGTGTTTTATGAGTTCTTTTAATTTTTTTCACCAGGCGACGAGTGAGGAGGCGGAGTTAGAGACGTTTGCGGAAGGGGCAGAAGTTCTGGACTTCTTGCTCGGCGTCACCACCGACTTGCTGCAGCGTTTCGCCTAGCGTCCGCTGTCCGCAACATGACTACACGTACCAAACACTGTTATACTCCTAAATCATGCACTATTCAAATAAGGCCCTTCTTTTTATATCTAACAGTGTGTAATATACACACATACACAATTCAGTGTTTAGTAAATATGTGAATATGAATATTTTTTATAAAAATGTAAAATGTAAGAGGTGCTTTAACACTTGATCGAGTTACACGCGGCTACAAAAACGCCTTATTACATTAAAAACTCGTTTTAAATATGAGTTTCTATGTGCTATAAAATACTTTCCAATAATTATGCGAAAGCGACGCACTGCCCTTTTTAAATAACTTTTCATACTTCAGAATATATCGTGTTAAATTTTTTAATATTTAGATTGGCTAAAACGCTATTTGTGAAATGAATGTACATTATTATGTGATTGTGATATTTTTTTCGCTAAATGGTTATTTGTGTGATAACTGTTTAAAAATGTATGGCATAGTCGATGTACATAATATATAGTTTATAGTTGTTGATTGTAAAGTAACGTTTATACAAAGGAATAACGGTACATTTTCTATACGTCCACAACAATAGAAGTAGGAAAAATTAATGGCCAATTTAGAGTAGCGTTACAAATAACATCGTCGCAGCGTTTAAATATCTTACGCACAATCAGCGATAGATACATTAATAGCCGGCTATTATTGTCAAGTTGTCATCATATTTGTTTAGGGAGAACACAGGTGGACCGAGCTCCCCACTCGTCACTCGCCGGCTCATTAGCAAACAATGATCGAACTTCGACTTCCGAAATAGGGACAAAACAATATGCTACCTTTTGTTATTCAGTAGATAAAAATTGGTGTCTACAGTACTTAGTATAAAATACTATCAAGCCTTTACACGTATCGCGCTATCCCTCAGATCATACATCGCGATCAATGAACGGCGAATACAGCGAAGAATTCATGGCAACCACATCCATAATCCCGTGACGTGCATTTTGACAGACGCGTTCGACCGCTTTTTTCTATACATTTTTTGTCGCCATTTTTTTCACCTCCGCCCGGCAGTCCGTTGAACCTGCGACGTTTATAAAGAGCTATTTTCACATGCAATTACACGTATAGCCGACTTAATTACCCGAAACCGCTGCGACGCCGTCGCCGACGGGACATGGAGGCCGATCGAAAAAACGACCTAATCCGGCGCCGGTTAAATTACGCTTCGTTAACCTTAGCTGAGGCTAATAATAGCGTAACTACTGCTTTGCATGGTAATGCAGCGCGACGCCTCGTCTCTCTACGTTCGAAAGTTTCTTGCCAAGAGAACATGTCATTTCTTTATAAATTTATGAAGTTTTGCCTGTTTCTTTCGACAGGCAATAATTTTCTGTAGGCGTTCTAGCCATATTTCTAACCTAGTCAATTAAGCTTGATTGATAAATGTGTTTACAATTCTATTATATGTGATAATTTTGTTTCATTATTTTTAACGGGACTACTCGTATATTTACATAAACAAAAATTATAATAAATGTTTTCTGTATTTTATGTGGTTTTTCGAAGTCATGATTATTTTTTTAATCTTGAATAAATTTACAAATTTTAATATTAAGAACATGGGTGGCAAATACTCTTCAGAATTACAATGTTATGTAAAAAAAAGTGTATATTTAATTGAATCTACTTCACTTATGAAAATGTAAATTCTCTTACCAGATAACCTTGCTTTGACAAGACTAACAAAAAGATATGAGGACTAAAAATGTAGTTTGGACTAAAACGTAGTTTTATTTAAATGTTTTTTAAACATTCATCACAAAATTTTCTGTGCCTTTTTTACCTATAAAGTACTTATTAAATTGCTAAAGTTTGTAAGTAAACGTTCATCGTTTGCTGTAATATCTGCGAATATGTATTTTTTTACTAAATTACCGATAAGTCATATTCTAGTTATAAGCATATTAAATAGACTGTTATTGTACGTAATAAACAGCTTCAATATTTAGTTTTCTAACTTTCAAGACTAGACTACAAATTGTTTATATGTAAATTACAAATATTTCTCTCATCTCAACAGTATCGACTGATATCTTTATAAAATAGTATTGTGATAAATAAATAAATAAATAAACTCTGTAAGGTATTCTGTAATTGCGCACATGTGGCATCGATACGTCACAATCGACCTAAAACATTTTAGATAGTAACGCTCCATAGAATTGACTAAGAAATACTTATAATCCCATCATCTTAATATCCTAGAAAGAAAACGTGATTTTTTTAAATACACAAAAGTACCACAATCCTTCTTAGTCGCTAGTGTGGGTGTGTGCAGTCAATTTGAAATCTAATATTTATTTAACGGGACAAGAACCGTTTTGATGGTTTCAAAAATAAAAGGCGTCGTTTCACCTATAGTATTAATGTCACCGCAGGTAAGGGTGACAATACCTGTCTATAAATTAGGATTTTCATGTCTCAGATGTCAAATATCTAAAACATAAAAGGCATATTACAAATTTTTGACGTTGCCTTGAAAATGAAACTTTGAGAGTGGTTGACAAAGCAATGGTTGGAAAGACTTGTCTCTTTGACTTGGTTGGAAAATCTTGTCATTGAATGAATGTCTTTTTAAATTTATTAAGCGTCTTAGGATGTACTTCTGCGTTCTGTCCTTGTCCAGTTAGCAGGATATTAATCATTTCAATGGGCACAATACCTATGTCTTTAATATTGTTTTGTAAGAACTACTACTAGTTCGTGAAATAAAAGGGCTTCGCAACCTACAAATGGCACTGAAAACTTGTAACTTCTGTTTTCCCTCTTGTTTTCTACGAAAATATCCAATTTGCGCTATTTGTCAAGAAACTGAAACAACAAGGCTGCTATTTCACAATTAATAATATATGACATATATTATTTATAAAAAATAATAATTAAATGTGATGTAAATAACTTGTAAAGATCATTTTATAATGCCGCAATTGTCCAGAAAATTGCAAAACTCATGGTCATCCTTCAAATTGTTTTTGTTGGTTTTAAGAGAAGCCACACGGGAATAGGCCTAAGTATATTGGGTCGTATAAAAGACTTATGAATTGAGTCTTTCCAGAATACTTCAGGAAAATTATGGTTTATTAACGTGGAGGAAAAATGTTAAACTAAACGTATTTTTATATTGTAATAAATTTTGACAGATGTCGTTTCTAATTTTACGGGGACTTTGATGGGCATCAAGATCCGGATAATTTAATGAATTTTATGTGAAATTTTTGCAGCATGTGTTTTTTATCTTCATCGATGTTTACTAAATTGATTGTGTATTCAATATGCGATATAAATAAGTACATATATTATTTTTTCAACTTGTTTTATTTACCTAAATGTACCGTACATACATTATCGAACCGGCCAAAAATGTTACTTTGTAATTATCTCTTAATTTATGTTTTAATTGTATTTACAGAATTCGAAGATTTAACAAAACGCTATTGTCTACATCTATGCTGGGCACACTTCTACACCAGGTATTGCTCTAAATTAATATTTCATTACTTTTAGTTACTGACTGGTGAATAAAAAGTTGATAGACAGATCTTTCTATCTACGTTACTGTCCGATGCAGAGTTATGATTGTATTGTTTTAACAATCAACACTGAGCTATTGTGATCAGCTGATGTGTTTTCATCAAACACTTCGACATCCAAACATTAGACGTCACCAATATTTGCATCGTCACCGTTCGCCAAAAAGAACATCTGCGTGTGTTGTGTTCATTACTTTATTTCTCGCAGATAAAATCTCATCGGACAACACCGCTCATCATTACAGGTGGTATGTTTTCGTCTAATGGACGGGCGCGATATGATATCTGTGCCGGCCTGATGCCCACCTCATGTCTATCAATAGACGCACAGAAACCGATACACGAAACGACTAACAGTATTCGCACACCGTTCATGTTGGGTTTTTTAATTTTTATACCGACAAAAACTGTACTCGAACTTATTATTGACTGAAGACTGAATTGGACATGTAGTAATTATATGGTGCGATATTTAGGTAGTAATTACTCGGAGGTCGAGGAGCCAGTAATTGACAGGTGAGAGATCGCGATGACCCGGTGCAGGCCACTTACCAGCTCTTGTGCTGAGAACACTCGGCTGCAACACGGTCACAATGAGAGCTTGCGTCGCGCGCTTACTACAATTCTAGATATGGTTGCCAATTCGATATACAATTATCAGGACTTGTCCATTCTTCAGACAGTAATCTTTTGACTTAACAGATGTAAGATATCAAACAAAATCTATCTCTGTCAGATACAAAATAGATTTAAAAGATTTTAATTGATCATAACTCTGTCGGTCCATCAATACCGAATAGTCAAGCTATGATAATTATCGTACATCACTTTCAAATAAAGTCTGTCAAATGCCATCGATACGATCTGATCCAATTGTAAAGTCGATGACCAATTATTAAGGTAGCGTTAAACAAGTGAATAGTTTTGATTTTATTTAACTGTTGTGTAATAAATTCCCTTGATATTCCAGGCGAAAATGAACGACCTACGAAAATGTAGACACCACAGTCACTTTGGCAAACCACAAGCCACACGAAGCAGCATCTCGACACGCAGATGTAAAACGCGTACAACTCAACGGAAACAATAACATCGCTACGTGCGAAATCGATTGCGAATGCAAATCCGTTACTTACTCGATATGAACCAGTGAGCCAGATATCGATTTTAGAAAGTTGATTCAAAACCGCGGTGATGAAACGTGATCGCTTGTCTTTCAAACCATCACCGATGATGGACGGAGGGTGAAGATAAAATGCCGATTGTACTAAGCTTTTAGCTTTTCCGTCGACGTCGTGCGCGCGCTTTGCATTTCGATTTATAACCCAGATCCCAGACATCAGGTAAAAAAATCAAAATCGACCTCATTCCGCAGCTCGTAACTGGAATATTATATTGAATAATATTCAGTACTTACGTTACTTATACTTTTGGGTTTTTGACTTAGGTATCTGTGTAATTCCACAGAGTACAAAAATAGTTGCAATAATGTTAAATTTTAACTTCATTATTATACCGCTAAGATTATATTTCTTTCTGCTATATCTGTGTTTATGTTATCGCTACTATCATATTTTCACTACGAAACATATAAAAAATAATGTTTCTCAGTAGGAGACCTCTGCCTCAGAAATAAACTCGGATTTAGGATTCTTTATTTACAATTAACTGGTTTGAAATACTTTCCTACAGCAATCTTGAAAAAGTTTTTAAATAAAATATGCAGATAGTTCATACAAATTATTTTAATGCAACAAGTTTCTCGTACACTCCTAAATATTGAGAATAAATATCAACTGTTATGAGCAAACATTTTATTAACTTATACGTCGTAAAATGCTGCTATAAAATTAATAAAGCCCCCGTAATTACATTGCCTACTAACATACTAAAAGGAGCTACGTCAAAAGTAATAACTTAAATCAATTCCGGCGATATTAATTAAAGACTTAAAATTACTTGCAGATTTATATCGATTTTTTTGGAGCAAACCTTTTTAATTTTAACGACCAATTAAGGTTTTAAAACAAGTCCAAGTGTACGAAATAATCAGTACATTCTCAATATTTGATAAACAAACTTACTTTATTTAATTTAATGCATTTTATTCGCAGACATTTATATTCATTCATAAGTTAACAAAGTTCAAAGCCCTTTAACCTAAATATGAGGAATAAAATTTATGTAAGGTATTTTTTCAACAGTTCAAAATGCTATACATGATCTAGGCAGGGCAGTAATGTGGGCATGCGTTTTACGTTCGCCAGTGATGTCCAGACTTGACAGTAGTCGTCAGCAATTAAATGTTGGCTATTCCAAAATTAATGACAAGATAAAAAATGCACTCGGTATTGTTTAAGAGAACGCAAGCACAAATCCCTCGGGCGATAATTAGTTATCGCTTTTTTATTGAAGTTAATTAGATTCCTTTAATGTCTATAACTCGAGGCGGCTCAACTAATTAGAAATCTTAAATATAAGTAACACATTCGACCCGAACTAACGGTACGCATATAAAGCATTTACCAATCAATCTTATCTACATTTAACTTCTAATTGCTAGAAAAAAGTAAAGCATTTGTCTTGGACACAGGCGTTAAAGTTTTATTTTTACAAACCTTTTCAGTATTTATGTATCCTCGTGAAAAGGCATGTGCGGCAAACCGCACCGTATAAGTATTGACACTAATTCTTGTGTAAAGCGACTCGAGGTTCTATCTTAAATAATAAATAATGGGTAACAATCGATCGGGAAACGATAAAGAGACAACTTGCAACCTCTCACGTTTCCCCGACTGGC